TGAATCTCGGCACCATTCTAAAAATGATACGAGCCGTTTCTCGTGCTTCGAAGGGCGCGTAAAGCCGTCGGTTCCCCTGGACTAGTGTGCATCGACACTAGCTACTTGAAAAAGGGTTAAAGATGCAATTGGCGCCGGAACAATCGGAAAGGATCTCTCCTGGCAAAAAAGCCATACGATAATATTATTATTATTATTGATCTTTTAATTATAACAGGTATTCTACCTAATAAGCAAATGTATTTTTATGTGAAAGAATTTCGAAAATTTGGAATAAAGTATAATTTTATTTTCATACATTTTTCATTCATAATCTAATGCCATTATTTAAATTGTTGTTTTCTATGATACGATTTTAATTTTAGTTTCGTATAATAAACACTTCTCATGGTAATTGAATACTGTAAACACAAATTGTTAATTTATTTTCTTGGATGACGTAACTTTTTAACGTAGAATATTTTAAGAACTGTTTGTTCATTACAAAAATAATAAAAGGATAGTTTTGTTTTAAATTTTTTCCGCAAATCGCCAGGAAATTTTGACATTCCTGTCAAAATTTCTTGAAGAAAAAGTCAGGACTTCCTTACTGTAAGGAAATGTCATTTCCTTACTGTAAGGAAATGATATTTCCGTACAGTTGTTAGTGTTCTACATACAAGTTTGACAATTCAACCTCAATACGTTTCCAAAGTAACCCAAGTAATTTTATTAGGAATTTCAAAGCACCATTTATTTGGGAATAAAATTATCGCGTTTTTTTTAAATCAATCAATATCTGTCGAATTTTAAACGATTTGAGAAAAAATAGTATGTTTACCTCGTAGGAAAAGCCACATTCCTGGACTCTGTGTTGCTAAGTCTCGGCTTGCGCCTCGACTTAGCAATCTTCACAGTCGTCCAGGAATGTTAAGCTTTTCCTACCCGGTAAACAATGTACTATTCTTTTCAATTCTTTGAACTCGTTTCCTTACGAGGATAAATATTAGGATGGCGATTATTTCATTTTAATTTTAAAGATAATACAAACCGCTTCTATGTGATATTTGAACGAACTACACCCAACTCTACAGACACGAGCAGAAGGGCCTAGATCGCTTGTAGACCTAATTAAATAGTTTGCTCAGGTTACAACTTTTATTTTGATTGTGTTGTTTTGGTATATAATTTCGATTGTTTTAATTACTCCTAGAGGTTTCTCTTTTGAGTACAATAAGTAAATGACGTCCTTTAATTTGACCCTGTCAAATGGCTTCTTTAGGTCCACGAAACATACACATGCCGGTTTGTTGTATTCTAATATTTTTTTTGCACTTGTCTCATTATAAATATAGTGTCGGTGTATGTATATATCTTCTCAACCTAAAACCTTGTTGTTCTTCTGTTATTGGTATAATTTCATTCAGTTTATTTAAATTATATACAGAAAGTAAAAAATTAGAGATTTTCAAACACGTATGTTGATTAGAGAACTAGGAGTGTCAGGCTAACATAATTAAGACATAAAAAACTTATATAGAATCTTCACAGGAGTGAACTATTTGAGCGGAGACGCAGTAGACTTGAAAACATGAAAAATACCCTTAACCCTGCATTTAGAAAAAAATTAAAAGACTAATAAGATATGCAATTTCGAATATAAATGTATAAAAAATGTATTAATGGATTAATATGTCACAAGACACAATATCATTTATACGTACATAATACACAATACATAAACTAAAAACAAATCAGAATTTGATATTATTCGCAATGTGCAACACCAACCTAAGATTTTTCGACGTTTGAGCCAAGGTAGAGGCCGGGTGAGTCGTCTGTCAAATTTGGTCAAAACAATTAAAAATATAAGAGTAAACAAAATAAGGTGTAATAACGTCCTTGTCCTCTCCTAAAAAGTGTCCTTTGGTTGTCGGTTAATATATTTTTATATTTAAAAAATATTCGTTTGAAACTAAATGAAAGTGCTGGCTGGTATGATATTTATTATACATATTTATTTATACAAGGAAAGTTCACTAAGATGAAACTTTTTAAAATATTCTTCCAATGTTCCTCTATCCATAATCACAAGTTTTAAATTCTTTAATAAACAAAAACTCTTTTGGTTAGTAAAAATAGAGCGTTACACGAGAGAACATCGCATTTACATCTTTAAAAATATTTTAAAATAAATTTTGACGGCCACAGCGCTCAAATGTGAATATCGAAGCAGTTCGTGAGAGTGTTGGTGAAAGTCCAAGAACATCAATTTAACATTGTGGGCAAAAATTGTAAATTTCAAGAAGCTCTCTACAGCGTATACTCACTGAAGCCTAATGACCATGCACAACGAAGAAATTTCGCTGAATGGATTACTGATTATCAACAAGTGGGTGCTGATTTTTCGAATAAAAGCATCCTAAGCTAAGACGCACATTTTCACCTTAATGGCTTTGTGAATCGTCAAAATTACCGCATTTGAGGTTCTGAGAACCCACATATGACCGTCGAAAAAAAATGCATCCATAATATATCATTGTTTGGTGCGCATCATGATAACATAGATATTTCGGCCTGAATTGGATCCGAATGTGTGGACGACATGTGGTTTCAACGAGATGGTGCCACATGCCCGTGGCACAATTCAGTAACTACAAGAGACATTTTCTGGTCGCGAACTCTCTTGTTTTGGTGATCAGAATTGACCCCGTAGATCGTGTGATTTAACACTTGGACTTCTTTTTATTCAGTTATTTGAAGTCAGAGGTTTATGTTGGTACCATTGATAATTGATAAATTCTTTTCTTGTTGAACAAATGAATTGTTTATATTCAAAAATGTTCCTCATACATGTTCTATATTTTTATAAGTACTGAATACTTTCATATCTACTTCAACTTTTTAAACAAAAATCGCGTTAATCGCTCGTCTTTACAGATACAAATAATTTTATTAATTCCAAATATTTGCCAAAACCTTATGTCTGGTAAATAAATAGAAGTCATTATCAATGTTTAGAAATAAGTAACAAGTAAACATCGCACAGTTTAAATAAGACTTTTTATAGAAATGTGTTACTGTATAAATAAATTTAATCGAAATTACCTACAGTTACAGCTCACGTTACAAAAACATTTATAGTAGTTAGAAATATTTCGCTCTATTGCGAAAAAAAATGCCTCAACACCAGAAGCAACTGTCTAAAAACTATATTTGTTTAATATTGTTTAATTAGTTTTTCGTGATTTTCAGCGAATATTGTAGTGTATTAAAAAGAGGATTGTGACATTTTGTCTAATTTTCGTAACACTTAGTATAGTTTACTTTATGTAAATATTTCCTAAGAAATCAATTTATGCCGTTTTCTAAGTTTACTTCTTAGCAATCTAGTTCACATGTATGGTATAAGATAACTAAACTACATTAATTTTACAAATTCCCAACTGTCAACAAACGTGAAAGCCAAACAGGGTCGTACTGAGGTGTATTATATGATTTTTAGAAATATTTACTTTTGAAACTATTAGTTCTTGAAATTTAATCATTGTGAGCAAAATTTAATGTTCTATTGAAGAAAAATGTGCTAAAGTATAATATTTATTAACTGAGAGATACATAACAAAGTGAACATTTTGAATAAAGTAGCATTGTCATAAGTTTATCAAAGCATAAAAACATACCATTTAAATTACTCAGAGTCTGAGGAGCTACATGTGCTGCTGTCTTCGTCTGGATTTATTATTATGGGTTCGATATGGTTCTCTATAATATTGTCCACTTCCATATATACTTTGTGTATTACTTCTACATTTTGGACTCAACTTTTTGTTGAACGTGTTGCACACATTCCTGCCACGTAGTTGGACTAATATTATGTATTGCACCATATAAAAATTTTTCATATCTGCTAATTTAAAAGTAGTATTTTTGGCTGCTACATAATTTTTTAATTCTGCACAGATGAGCTCAATCGGATTGAGCTCACAATGGTATGGGGGCAGCCTTAATACTACTTTGTTTTGGCTTTTTGCCATCTCATCAATGATATATTTATTATATTGTTATATTTTCCCTTATGTTTCTTAACGATAGCCAGCAGTTGCACTTTTAACATGGCGTCCTCAAACCCCATATTATTCGATTTCAGACACGCTTGGATGTTAGCTTTTCTACAAGAAATAGTTGGAATTTTTTCTAATTTTCTGGAATGCTAAGACATTTCCCGTCCATCTCTTCATGGTAGTCCCCACTTTTTTTTATTCAAACACCCACAGCCCTTCTGGAACAAACCCATCTTCACTGTCAGTGTAACAGATTATTAGTCTTTTTTCTTTTCCTGAAAATTTAATTTTTGAAAATTAAAAAGTTTAAAAAAATTGAATTATTTTAAAGTTTGCTTGAAGTAAAAAAGCACATAAACATTTACCTGCAGGATAATTTAGCAATGTATATGCCAAATTTCATGTCAAGTTCTTTAATATTTACAGCAAAAACCATTAATAAATGAACTAAAAAGGAAATAAAACTTTTCGAAACATCAATAAATTAAAATAATGGTTTCTTTTACCTTTATTAAAGTGATCACCGCAAGCTATTTTTAATTTTAATTAACAAATACTTTGTTTTTGGACACTAAAAGTTTGCTACACCCTATAAAACTTAATACTAAAACACGACCAGTAAATATCTTAACAATAACTATATCATATAACATACAATATATTAACTTAAAAATCAACACGCTAAAAATACAATTTGAATTTAAACAGACTGACAAGTTTGGACCTGTAAAATGAGAATTGGTCTGGCTTAACGCTATAAATTATATGTACTGGCCTCTTGACGAATGAGAGGGCGAATATTACCAAGTGCGTTTGTTTACAGTTGGGCATTTGCTGAACAAATGCACCATAATGCTCTTTATAAATGTTCAAACAAATATTTTCTAAATTTTTAAAACCGGTTTTATTTTTACATTTCAATAGCAATAAATAGGTTTTTTTTTTTTATATTTTCAGTTTGCAGTGATGAACTAACGCATAGCCAAAAAGGTCGTACTGTTATGAATGAAGAAGAAAGATATGAAGCTCTCAGGCATTGTCGTTATGTCGACGAAATTGTTAGGGACGCTCCCTGGGAAGTGACTGAAGATTATATAAAAAAACACAAAATCGACTTTATCGCCCATGATGATCTACCGTATGGTTCAGATAGCAGCAACGATATTTATGCCCCTTGGAAAGCTAAAGGAATATTCGTAGCGACTGAAAGAACTGAAGGCAAGTTAGGTTTTTCGAATAACTTTTAAAATTGTACATAATCAAATGCTTTTTTTAATGTATAAGTCTAGAAAGATATGGTTGAGATCTCCTTGATCCATGGTTTTGTACAGGTATTGTTAAGAAACCGTGCCTAAAAAGCTATTCTTTTATGTTGTTCGCTTTACCGGAATTGAATTGTTTTTTCACTTTTTCTGATCGCCATGTGGAAATCTGAATTATATAATACATATAACCATATTCTAAGGCATTCTGCTTAAATATGTACTAAACATTCTTGTTAAACGACTATAAAAACAGAAGATCAAAAAAATAGAATCCCTGACGAATAGAAAACAGCAATAATTCAATATATTCAAATACAAGATGCCATACATTTTATTAGCATAATGAAATAAGGGTTACAATGGAAAAAATATTAATAACGCCTATGTTTTGCTATCTCTCTCTCTCTCTCTCTCTCTCTCTCTCTCTCTCTCTCTCTCTCTCTCTCTCTGTATCTCCCTTTCTCTCTCCCTCTCTCGCGAATAATTTTATTAACAAAATACAGCTATTAATTATTATTAGTAGATTAAACAAAAAGAACTTTAAAAATTGTCCAGCTGTGTTAAACCTAGGGCAAGTTCTCACTCAAATTATGATGAAAAGCATTCAAAGTAATTTCCAAAGATGCTTCTCTGATTAAAAAAACTGACGAATACAGTAACTTTCATGGCTTGTCATTTTTGTTGTGACTATATTGAAAAATGTGTTATTGAAATATCAAGCGCTTTCGGTATGAAGATCATCTCGCTTCAAAAGAAAGTACAGATATTTTCAGTTATGGCAGAGCATCTGATATCAAATGTTGGTTTTTTATACCCGAAGACAAATAATATGCATGTTTAAAACACGTAGCTCTTCAGTTACATGAATGTTGGGATCAAGATACTACGACTCTGCATTTTCAGAAATTAAAATAATTATAATTATAAAGCAAAATATCGCAATCTGCTAACGGACGGACATCGGACATCTCACATCCTGCTTGCGGTTGGCACCCAGTAATTGCCTAATTTCTTATCAAAAATTTTATGAATGTTATTCAGTGCCGTGCTTCAACAGCCAAAGGAAATTAATGATTTAAAATAATTTAGATTTACAATAAAAGCATATTGTTTGCTTTTCTGCTAAATATTTTGTGGTAGATCGTAGACACTACAAGTCTAAACATATCTGTTTTATGTTGTAACATGATAATTTCATTGCAAAACTGTAAACTATAGTAACTTCAAAATACATTATCCGTTGCAAATTGTAAATTAAAGACAAAATATTGTATAGTATAAAGATAGTATCTTCAGTTACATTATCCACGACCAAAAAAAGAAGAAGACAAAACATCAAATAACTAAAGCGAATGAATATCTGGGTGCTTGGAAAACTAAATCAGTTTTTATTAACGGGCAAGTAAAGATCTGGGAAGATCAAGCTATAAATAACCCTGTAGAGGCCCTTCAACTACCTTTTAATGGAAATCCGAGCTTGTAGGAACCTAACACGAACTTTTAGAAACAACAGAGCAAAATCGAAGGAATATCTGAGTGGTTAAGAATAGACAATTTTAATGGACTGCTTTTCTTTAGTTTTCTCTTTCGCACTGGGGGAACGGGCTGGTATTACAACGATCAGTCCATCTTGTATTATATGTGTATGGTGTTTGGTCATTCTTGAGGTTATGCAGACTCATTATTTTTTTCTATCCTAAAATAATACCCATAACAACTTAAAGTTTAAGTCTTATCTTTCAATTCTTCTCCTTCTTCATCAAGTTCTACTTCTATCGGAGATTGGAGATCATTCTGGCAATTATAATTTTGTTGGTTACGCGCCTAAATAGTTCAATTGAACTGCATCCAAACCATTCACGGATATTGCGTAGCCACGAGATTTTACGTCTTCCTACGCTTCTTCTGCCTTTGATTTTACCCTGCATTATATTCCTTAGTAGTTCGTATTTTTCACCTCTCATGAAGTCTTTCAATTGGGTGTGGGTAAATATTAAAAATGGGTTTACTTTTTTTATATAAAATCTATTTCGCTTTATGTCTTACGTCTATGTTCAACTGAAACGTCATTTCTCTTAAGTAACCAGCAGCAATCTGCCATCATTATGACGCTCTTTCTGCTTGAAGTCTTGATGAAATCGCCCTCTCATCTTTTCGCTGAATGCACCTACATTTTCTGGAAAGTAGATACAGAAATTGTAATTTCAAGCAGTAAGAAACTTTAAAATGCGATATCTCAGCGAAAAAAGAAGATAACTTAGTAAACTATCAACGCCATTTAAAAGAGTGAAACTTATATTTTAGGATGGATATAATAGTTTTTAGGAGAAAAATTAAATTACGATGCTACATAACCTCAAAAACCGCCATTTTTGCACTTTCAGGTAACGATAACATAGAATCCAGAGCCAATTGGGCAATTTAGAACTCAGATTCATTATTGTTGGTCTTAAAAATGATTTATATACATATACATAGTTTCCCATCTAATATCGTATCCTTATTTTTTCGATTACATCCTTAAGCTTAATAATAAGCTGCTATATTTGCTTAGTTTCTTACACTTAGGTTTGCTGTACATTTCTACTCACAGATACTCGATTCTCCAGACTTATTCGATTATTTGGTCGTTAATTACTATTTTATATCGTTTGGCTTCTTTTGCCAACACTAAAGTTTTCGCCTAAGATGTAGATATTTTCATATTTTATGTCTTATCCGCTGTTTTGAATGTTTGTACCATTCGCTGTAGGTCATCTTCGTTTTCTGCGATCAGAATTGCGTCTGTACATCATGTACTTTTAGTATAATAGAGTTCTAGGTATTTTTTTACACTTTTTTAATGCAATTTAAATTTTAGGTGTGTCGACATCAGATATTGTTGCACGAATAGTAAGAGATTACGATATATATGTAAGGAGAAACTTGGCGAGGGGATATTCTGCCAAAGATTTAAATATTTCCTACCTCAGTGAAAAGAAAATTAGGTTACAGAATAAAATGCACGACCTAAAAGATAAAGGAAAAAGAGTTCTTGATACCATAGGTAAGTTTATTTATATACAAAAGGTATATACATTTTTTGTACATAAAGTTTGTCAGAGTTGATGCTATACGAAAATAATATAAAAAATGAATATATTATTATTTACGTTAAATCGTTATTCTAACAATATGTGTATACACATCTAGTTAAGATTTTTGACAGACATGAAACGTTGCACAGACCTGCAAAAAAATTTGTAGTAATTATACCTTCTTCTGGCCATACGCTATGCAGCGTGTAGGTGTTCATACTGGTTGGATTATACGTAAGGATCCTTCTGCTACTCTTCTTGTTATTGTATTGATATCAGGTATGTTGCACCAGTTTCTTATGTCTCTAAACCATGAGTGTCCTTTGCAACTTTGTCCTCTCCGACCTTCAATTTTGCGCATTAAAATTATTGTTAACAGATTATATTTGCCGCTTTTTAAAATATGGCCTAGATATGAAATCTTTCGCTATTTAATGATGTTTAGAAGCTCTCTTTGGGCATTAGTTCTTTTAAGAAAACTTCATTTGTAATAAAGTCGACCCACGGAATTTTAAATATCCTATTCAATACGGTTAAGCGATCTTACTTTTTATTATTGGACATATTGGCATTGTTTGGCGCTAATACGGGGCCCCAAAGGAGTTTCGTGTTGACAAAAGTAGTTATTGAATTTTCAATGTGGAAACTAATTCTAGAGTATAATTATTTTTTTTTGTCTTATTTTTAAAAAGAATTAGTAAACACCCCGACGTGTCAATTTTAAAACTTACTTGTACGTTCTTCGACCAAAAATATAAATATACAGAGTAATTCAAGTGAGTCTAGAGCTGGTTATTGTATTGTTGAAAGCTCCTTAATAAGCTGACATCACCAAACTGTAATATGTATGGTCTATACCAATATAAAATACAGAATGACATTTTGGAATAATTAATAATAATAATGAAGAACAGCAAATCACCTGGAGAAGATGGCATTGTAAGTGAAATGCTAAAATTAGGAGGCGAATGTGTCATAAAAGCTTTAGAAACCCTTTATAACGCCTGCCTCTTTTAAGGAGTTACACCAGAAAAATGGAATAGTGTCATTATGATAATATTGCACAAAAAAAGGAGATGTAACAGAAATTGGAAACTACAGACTTATAGCTGGTTATCTCATTTATATAAGCTCTTTATAAGAATAATTACTAACAGACTGGAACCTAAGATGGATTTTCACCAACGATTAGAGCAGGCCGGATTTAGGAGTGACTTTGGAATGAATGACCACCTACAAATAAAATCCTTAATAGAGAAAGTTACAGAATACAACAAGCCATTGATATTAATATTTGTAGACTTAAAGAAAGCGTTTGACTCAGTCCAGCGTAGCATCATGTTAAGAGCTCTTACAGAGTGCAGTATTGATCATAGGTACACAACTCTTCTGCGGAATATATATATATATATATATATATATATATATATATATATATATATATATATATAATAGCGCAACAGCTGCAGTTTAAAATGTATTATGGCAACACAAATACATTTCCCTTCGACAGGGGTATTAGGCAAGGAGATACCATATCTCTTAAGCTATTCACCGCTTTGTTGCAGAGTGCTATGAGAAACAATTATTGGGAGAATATTGGAGTCAACCTAAATGGAGAGTTTCTGAACAACTTAAGATTTACAGACGACACAGTCCTTATTGCCGACCGGGTAGATCATACCTGCCAGCTTCTTCAAGACCTTCAGAGCTCATTTACACGAGTTGGACTTAAAATTAATTTTTTCAAAACACAATATATGACCAACTTTGGTCAGTCTGACAAAGAATGTAGCGTAGAATCTTTAAGTAATTTTAAACTGTTTGTCCTCGTTTTAGTGTAGTGTTTTGTACAATTTTATGTCAGTATTAATGTTTCCACATTCTACGCTTGCCGGATAGTTTACATTTGACGAAATGCCCCTGAAGATGCTATTTTAAGCGAAAGTACTTGGGCTAGATTTAATTAACTTGTGCTCGATAATAGCCTTATTTTCAAAGTTCATTTATTCGAGAATTCAACCTCATTTCAATCAATAATGCATAATTATTTACATTGTTATTTTACTATCCTTTAAAAACATAACTAAGGAATCATACACTGCTCTCGAGTCTAGTGATAATAAGTACTGAAGGTTCCAAGGGGCTAATATATTGTATTTATGTAAGTTATTTATTAACCTGGCTGAAATTATAGTATTTCTGGGGCAACTGTATCTTCTGTGTATTCTGGCAATATAGCAATTTCTATAGCAACTTCCACTTAAGTTTTGCCATCTACGTTGATGCATCGGTTACTTTTGTTTTGTTGCGGATCCAAGTATTTCTTTTTCTTATCTGATAGCCTGATGTTCAGCATTTGCCTTTCCATGGCTCTTTGGGTCTTTGCTATTTTTTCCATGTTTTCCTGTAAACGTCCAAGTTTGAGAACCGTAGGTGAGAACAGGAAGTATACATTGGTTGAAGACTCTTGTTTTTAAATGTTGGGGGTATTTTCTATTTTTTAGTATATAGAAAAGTTTTTCGAAGGATACCCAAGCCAACCGTATCCTCTTTATTTCTCCGGTCTGATTTTCTTTATTTAATTTAACTAGTTGTCCCAAATATACATATTCTTTTACTTGTTCTATAGTTGTTTGTGCATTTGTAATTATTAATTCTTCTGGTTGGTTGGTCATAATTTTCGTTTTATTATAATTTATTTGTAGACCTATTCGCTATTTAATTCATCCATTATATTTTGTAATTCTTCCCTTTTATCTGTTATTAATACAATGTCGTTTGCATATCTCAAGTGATTCAAACATTGGCCATTTATATTAACACCCCGTTTTTTCCATTGTAATTTCCTCATAACGTCTTCCAAAGCTTGATTGAATAGTTTGGGTGATATAGTGTCACCCTGTCTGACTCCTCGCCGTATCTTAATAGGCTCCGTTTGTTGAACTATTTTAATGGATGTTGTTGCTTGATCATATATATTGGAAATTAAGTTCGTTTATATATAATCTATTTTCCCATTTTGTAAAGAATTCTTTAAAAATGGAGGTGACTAAAAAAGGAAGATAGAAGGCATAGTGTCTGAAATTCGAGGTAGAGTTCTGGAAAAGCACTAGTGAATAAACAAATGCAGTTATGAATCAGAGGATGGCATAAAATGTTTTAAAATCAATTATTAGATAAACTATTAACGTTTTTTTCTTACATCAATAAATGTTTAACTTTATTTATGGGTAATTTTGATAAAATTTGAGAAATGTAAAATATTTTAATAGCTATAAATAACCAAAACAAACATGAACTTGAATATGTTAATCATTGACCTCTGACTCTGTATTCCCCGTCGTCTATCTTGACTTCTTAAACAAATTATTATTTAGAATTAGTATTTAATTTGTTGCATGATGTGATAAATTTTTATTCCATAAAGAAAAACGATGTCTGACGTTACCTTTAAAAATCTATCTATCTATCTATCTAATCAGCCTTAAACGCCCACTCTTGGGCATAGGCCTCCCCTGTTAATCTCTATTGGTCTCTATTTTGGGCGATCTGCATCCAGTCCTTTCCTGCCGTTCTCTTAAGATCGTCAGTCCATCTCATCTGTGGTCTTCCTCTTTTTCTTTTCTTTTCCCATGGTCTCCAGTGTAGAATTCGCTTATTCCATCTTTCATCTTTTTGCCGGAGAGTGTGACCGGCGAAGTTCCATTTAAGTTTTGCAACCTGTCTTGATACATCGTTCACCTTTGTTTTTTCTCTGATCCATGAGGTTCTTTTCCTGTCTTTAAGACCGATACCCAGCATCTGTCTTTCCATTGCTCTTTGTGTTTTGGATATCCTGTCGATGTTCTCCTTTGTGAAAGTCCATGTTTGTGAGCCATATGTGATAACTGATAAAATGCACTGGTTGAATACTTTCGTTCGCATATATTGAGGGAACTTTTTATTTTTTAGAATATATGATAGTTTACCAAATGAGGCCTATGCTAGTCTTTACTTTTACCTTTAAAAAACCAAGCTAAAATTCGTGAAGGGACTACTGGATAATCCCATCAAAAATTAAGTTAGATAAGATCAAATACTTTACCATCCTCTGGCGTTTATTCTCCGTAAGAATGTAGTGGAGTCGTGCCATTCGGTTGACTATTGCTGTCCATTTTCTCTTTCTTCGGTACCTATTGTTTTACTCTCGAGAATGAGTAACGATACGACCTTTCACGGTCTTTTGGTGTGATCATCGCTATAGAGATTTTTCTTTTCTATCTTGCATTCATTTATTTCTATCCTGTTTCTGTTGTCATTTCGCGTTATTTTGTACATCAATATTTTTCTATCATTCTGCTTAGGATTCTCATTGCTTTTGTTTAAAAGTATCTTCGAGTTGTGTTAGTTTCAGATCTTGTTTCTGCGGTGTAGGTAATGGCAGGTTGGATTACAGGTTTATATATATATATATATATATATATATATATATATATAATCCAATATATATAAGGATCACTCAGACGAGTGGTGGGTTGTTATATCGGTCTCAAGGTGGAGAAATAAAAGACAAAGTTGATAGGCTACTTTAACATACTCACACCACTTAATAAGTGTTACCAAATTTATGCCAAAATTTTACCTTCGTTCAATTACAGTTACAGTGTGTTCCGAACAAATGTTCTTAATAAAAACTCTTTATAATGGATTTATACAAATTAAATCAAACATATTATTGTGTATTTCTTTAAGTTAACATTAGTAGAAATTTTTAAATATTATTTCTACGCGTATATAATAAAATATGTCTAGTGGCTGTAATGCCAGTGTACTCGGTAAAGTGATTCTAAAAAGAACACACCTAAACCCTAAATATTTCGTGTTGGTATCATATGACATCACAGGCTATGACGCAGATGACGTGCATCGTTATATAAATTAGATGAAGTATATATATATATATATATATATATATATATATATATATATATATATATATATATATATATATATATATATATATATATATATATGTAGTAACCATTCTCATTATAATTTTTTCTTTTAGGTGAACGGAAGGGAGACATAATAGCTAAATGGGAAGAAAAATCTAGAGAATTCATCGAAAACTTTTTGCTTCTTTTTGGCCGTGAAAGATTAACCAACATTTGGAATGAAAGCAAAGGAAAAATTTTAAGTGCTTTAAGCCCGCCCGTATCCCCGCATCCACCAGCGAGTCCAACGTCCAGCGAAGGAGAGTTCGATTTTTCAGAGGACGGTATGCCCCCTCTCAAATCACCACGAGTCGAATCTCCTTCACCCCCTTCTTCATCGTCCGCATCGAGAAATAATTATTATAGTGTGGAGGATTATAGCGACGAGGAAGAAATTTCATTGCCAATAAAAAATGGAAAATTATAATGTTGAACGGGTGTTTTAGTTGTTTGAAATCGTTAGTGCTTGTTGAATGTGATGCTGTCTTGATTTCTCATTTTTACAATATAGTCTTTTTTGAAAAAAAAAACGTATTATATTCTGCAGCCAAAAAGTTTAATACCAACTTAATAAAATTATTCATAGATCGGTATTTTACATCGACAATATACAAGTTTTTAGAATATACTGGTCAACAAGTCACTAATGACACATACTTGTGTATTCTTAGTAAAACCGAAACGTAGTAATACTATAGAAATTATTTATTCACACCAGGTATAAATTTTATATATTTTATATGTTCATAAAAGTTAACATAAAATAATTAACGTAATATAAAATGTATATACCAAAGTAAAGTGGTTACCCTACCGATATTTCCAGTTTATGGTCAGTTTCTTTTTCCCTTAAAATGCATCAAAATTGTCCCAAAATTCATGTTTTACTAAATGTCAACTTTGTTTGACTATAATCTACTTGATTGGAGTTTTTGTCGATTATATCCCTATCAGAATATGCCATATTTGAAAGTTTGAAAATTATCTGGACTCATATCTAATCTGAATGAGAATTTAGAAATAAATTTAGAGTTAAAGTTGTTACAAATCAAATTTGTCAATAAAATATAGAAAACCTATGGTTAGTTTAGATAGAAAAATTTTCTTTATCAGAAGAACTAAACTGTTTATTTTGAGAAATTTGTCAAATGGTTAAGCATAAACATTCAATTCAGTGACAGACATATTATAATTGCTTTCTTAAAATAAGTATAAGTGGATTGATTTTACCAGACCTATCATTCCAATAATATGTTAAGCAGTCTGATTGTATAAGCCATTTCCAAAATGAAATAATTACTTAATTACTCAAAATCTATCAATCGTAAGTTGTGATATATAAAAATGTTTTTGATCGTTTGTTAACAAACTTAAAATTTTGTGTTCACTTGCTTAATAAGTATGAAGATTATACTTACTAGCATTATTTCCTTCTCCGTCCCGCGAGATTTTGTTGTTACATAACAAACACACAGCCAGTATATAGTAATCACTACGAACCTCATATTCCCAAATAAGTGATTTTATTCAATGATACCATTTTGTAATATTAAACAAATAATGCGTGTCGTAATCTCTCCCACACGCACCGCATGTGGTAGTGTAGTTGGTTTCCATATAGTGGTCATTATATTCGTATCTGAAAATCAGTTCGCTGAAACTGCTGCGGCTCCTGCTGTAGAATATTCTGATCTAAATGTCGTGAGATATTCTTTGGCTTAAGTGGTTATCATATTCTTTTCGGGCAAGTCAGTAGCCTTTGCATTGGTGTTTTCCTGTATAGATTTTTTTTTCTATGTTTTCTAAGTTTCTTGTAACTTGTTTTGGTTGGATACTAATTTATTACCTTTTCCAGCGGGAATGCTAACTTTCTTTTTCGTTATTCTGGTCCATGTGCACAAAGTCAAACCGCTTCTCTAACGGCTCATAGAGTGAAGCAGTTTTATTAACATAGCAAATCAATTCAACCTTTATAAGTACAACTTTAGCTCAGGTGCAAAATTAACCAAAAAGTAGGCAATAATATACCGAGGCAAATTTTACGATTTTTTATTAAATAAAACGAAGGAAGAGAGGCAGACACTATTTATTTACAACAATATAAAAATTAAAATGCACTAATCTAATTTGAATTTGAAAGTTTAAGGACAAATTTTACATCAAACAATATTGAAAAATGTAGCAGCATTTTACGCTCAGAAAAAAGTGAACTAAATAAAAATAATTCAAAATTGAAGCTTGAATCGCCATACTGCTAGTACGACACGCAGTTGATAACTTTTTGTCGTTGGTTTAAAAGTTATAGCGTAAATATTTTGCCAACTTGAGCTTAAGTTGCCATTTTGTTTCCCTAATTTATGGAATCGATCTTATTCTTTTGCTCAAAAGTGCTCAATAGGAAACCGAGATCTTCACTTTCAATAAAGTATTACCAAATATTCATAACATTTTTCTTGACATGCATACAACTTGTAAAGTATTGTTTGTGTGTAGACAGATAATTTAAATGATTGTCATTTATAGCGCGCATGTGTGCACACATGTAGTATTTTTCTTTTTTTTTTGTCGAAACGTAAAGTGATTAAAGTGATAAGTTTTTACATATTTTGTATATTTTAGTAGAAATGACCTTTAAAAATAGTTGTAGCCAATCATCAAACTTATGTTCGGTAACCAATGCCTTTTGTCGTCAAGGAGGATTTATATAAAATGGTATAAAGTACTGTATTGCATAGTTAAAAGATTATTATATTTTTAACTAATGGTAATTTTTGTATTAAGATTTATATCTGGTGTTAGTTTACTGTGATCGACTACTATATTTAAGAACGTAGTTTATTGTATCGGCAAAAGATAAAAAATATGCCTTTTTGGGATTTAGCAACATTCCTCGAAGGATTTTGCCCTTGTTACCATTATTATTTTTACTAATTATACTGTGCCAAAAACTAAAATAGTTCCGAAAATGTTAGATATTATCAGTAAGAAATTATTATGTTTTGGATTTAATAGATATGATAAATATCTAAAAAAATTATCCGAAGGAGTTTCAAATATTTTAATTAATAGAAATAAACAATGTTAATTATTGTCGCTTTTAAATATATAAATCATTTTAGAATTCATCATGTTTATCATCAAAAGAGGAAAACACTGCAAATGTCTCCAGAACATCACTTTTTAAAATTATCTTCAAAATAATTTTCTAGCCCAAGGTTATCTTTTTTTCCTTCGGTCGTTCCGAATACTGATTAAGACTTTTTTATTGTAATATTCCGCTAGTATAGAACCAAATTCGTAAGTTCTACAGCCATCTTCTCTTCTTGGAAATTCTCTTCTGTCGCATTTTAGTTATTTTATTTCAATGTTTTAAGGATTTCATATTCTTTCCGCATTTTGCTTAAAATATCGATTTAGATGACACCGTGATTAAAATAGACTAAAATTGAATGTAAGTCTAGATTCCAATTCATACTCAAAATTGGAATAAATACTAGGGGAGATCAGTTCCGGCCAATCTTCTTTTATTATATATATATATATATATATATATATATATATATATATATATATATATATATATATATATATATACACATACATTTCCCCCAATGTCATGTCCATTGCTGGATGGATTCTAATACCTGTTCTTGTGCTATGCTATTTAGCTACTCTAAAGATTTTTTTTAATGTTTTTAATCTAGCCAAACCTATGCATTTTCAAAGATCTTATCATCTTATTAGTTCGGTAAAGCTAGGTCAGGTGAATAGGGGAACTGAGAGTTGATATGCATGCCGTTTTTATGCACAAAATCTCGAAATAGCAGCGCAAACTCGACTGATGCGTTGTCATAGTGTGATACTCACTCCCCACTTCGGCCAAAGCTCAGGTCTCTTTCTTGGCACAGCCTCACAATTTTTTTTAGCGTTTAAAGATAACATTGATACAATTGGAAGTCAAGAAACTATTGGAGACATCTCTAGAGACTTGCCTTATTTTCACATCGTAGCCGTAAACCCGTCTCGCCCTTTATCATATTCATTTTTATCAACATTTTCCATTTTAAGAAGTTATCGAAAAATTTTAAGTCAGAGCATGTCATTTATTCCAACATCCTCTTGCAATACTCAGTAGAAGTTGTAACACAAAAACAAAACTTTATACAAACACATTGCCCTTCATTTAAATTCATTATTCAAATACGACTGCACCTTCGCCAAGACGAAACAAATTAAGCATCGGAAACAACCAGAAGAGTTCTGTCATGTCAGGTTAAACAAGGCGACCGACCTCAATAAGCTCTGTTGCAACGTTGCCAGTACATCCTGAAATTTGATGATTTGATGAAGATTTAATGATCATTATCTAAGGACTTAATTTTTCCGGTGTCTTAAGTTTTTTTTCGCTTTTTACTTATAACGGAGATTAACATTTAACAGTAAATTACACTGTCGTCTTTATTCTAGTCTAATAATCTTACATATACACATATTATAATATACATGTAATTGTATATATTATTGTATAAACGTTATTGTAACAGAAACTAAACATCTCACAGTTAAAAATTCTTTGAATAAACTTTCTGAAAAGATGACTAACTAAAGACTACGAAAAAAGCTTTTAAACCAAAGATTCTTGAAGACGTTTTAACTCGTTATATTTTAATCCCTTTTATCGAAGTGTTGCTAAATTCTTTATAGTTTGTTCTCTGCATGCTTGCTGTTAACAAATTATTGCCTTACCTAATAATTGTTAATGTTTGTAATATAATTAGTCTTTTAATGGATAAATTTGTTGTTGGGGAAAATATTGATTGAGCGTAGTAGTAACGTTATAATGTAAATATCATTTGAATATGAGATTTTATGAGATCTTTAAAAGCTTTAATTTGAAATGGAATTGCTTTTGGGTCAACCAGTTGCAGATTTTAATAAGTTTAATACAAAAAATACGCGTACTTTTTATTAAAATATTTAACAAAAATAAACACCAATTATGAAAAAAGTTTGTATCATGTTATATGGTTGCTATTTCTTGTCAGATAGTCATATATTTAACCTTCCGTCGGGCGCGGTGTATCAAATTGATTACGCGGATGTTTACGCCTCTTATTGCAAACTTATTTTAATACTATGCATTTAATACATGTCATCCATGTACGTAAATACATAAAAAAAACTTATAATACATTCGAATACAATTATCATTAACGCAAAAGGTAACTAACTTTTTCTAAAATCTGACGTAGTACTCGTAAATAAACTTAAAGTTATATATTATACCATTTCCTCATTTATGTCATCTTGTGGTATTTCTGTAAATATTTGACTGCGAATATTGCAAAAGCTGTCTATGTGAATCAGACAAATAGGTTTCTTACATGTTTTGCAGTTATACTTAAACAAACGTCTTTGTCCAATGCATGTATGAAAATAGTGAATTGAGCATAGGGAAAAATACAACGACGAACATTTCTAGCTACGTTGTACGATACACACAATTTATCTGTTGTGTTA